AAGTTAGATGGTTCTAACTGTTGGTGAAGATGTGGAAATATAAGAAACTATGCATTACAGCTGTTCTAGGAGCAATATGATATCACCTAAGACAAGTTAAGTATATGTTGCCCTATGATCTAGAAATTCCAGTCTTTGATGTATATCCCAATTGAATTCTGTCATAGAACCACAGGGGAAATGTGCATTACTGTGGTATAAGGAGTACAGGCAAGATGAATACTCGTCAACAGGCAAGCAAGTAGATAAAATGCAGTGTTTTGCAGCAGTGGAAACAATATATTATCTGTGTACATAGCCACATTGATGGACTTTTAGGGGTACAGAGACAAGTTTTTTTTTAAAGTAAGAAACCATAAAATATAAAACATAAAATCACTTACGTGTATTAAAATTATAACGCACAGACTTTCAGGCAAAGTTCAGTGTGTTATAACAGGCAACTGTTCCTGTAGCCATAGCAGAAAAGGCTGTATTAATTACAAAAACTATGTTTTGTGGATATCAGGAAGTTGTGGAAGAAATGAAGACAAGATGAATTGAATTAAAATTCCACAGGAGATAGAACCATTTTGAGGTAACAAGACAATCTTCAGGGAGTTTTCCCCTGGAGGAAGTTCCTGCCTCTGGGTGCCAACCCCCCTTTGTTCTCGGTCCAGGCAGGGGGCTTTTGCCAGGGAAAAATGAACCATCAAAGCTCTTAGTGGTAGTTACAAGGTGGAGTGACAATAGGAAATTTGAGAGACTTCAAATGCATGCCCAGTCTTCCCCACAGGACATTTCCTGAGCACTGGGGCTGTGTGGACTAGACTAAAAGCCTCTAAAATGCAAAGTGAAATCTACACTCTGTGCTAATTATGAAACAAATACACTACAAAGGGAAGGGTCCTGCATGAAAGTCACTGATCAGACTCACTGAGGCAGTCTCTCCTTCAAAGCATTTGCCAGGTTGAGAAGCTAAATGCAGCAGGAGGCTAACGAGCTACACTGAAATCCTCTGAAGAGGAAAATAGACCTTCTCACAGTCTTTCAGAGCTTAAGAGACAAAGACCCAACAGGCTCACTCAAAATCTTGGAAAGATCAGGCTCTAGCAATAGGAAAAACTAAATGTACACTGACTCTTACTAAAACTCCAGCGCAGACCTACGTCAGCTCAGACCCTGATTGGATTCAGTGGTCAGTTCCTCACCCTACATGACAAATAGAAGAAAGGGGAACCGTCTTTGGTAAAAGACAGGATCATCCAGAGCATCTCTGATTCCTGTGGTCCTTTATCCACAGTGTTCAGCATACAATGCAAGTTCCAAACAGTAATTTTTGCAAAAAGTAGACAATAGGAGCAGATCTACAGATTGCCCCAATCCTGGAGTTAGCAATAAGGGTTTAAAAATAACCGTGATTAATATGATGGAAAAAATAGAAGACGGATAAATTAGATGAAAGTATGGAGATTTCATCAGAAAACTAGGATCTCTAAAAAGAATAAAATGGAATTTTCTGGAGTGAAGACATCCTAGTCCTGATGAGGTGTGTATTACACAGGTGTATGCATTTGTCAAAATCTGTGTATGCATACTTAAGCTTTGTGCATTTCATTGTACATAAATTTTACCTTAAAAAAAACAAACTGTAAACAAATATTGAAGTATAGTTAGTGATGTGCGTGCTGAAGTATTTAGGAAGTAGTATATCAATATTTACAATGTATTATGAAGTACATCCAAAAAAAATTGGATGGTTTATGTGTGGATAGAGGGGTGGATAGAAAAATAGATACATAACAAAGCAAGCCAAGTAAAATGTCATAGAATTAACTGTTATAGATGTTCACTGTAAAAGTCTTTCAACTTTGCTGTATTTTTAAGTTTTTTTCATAATAAGATAGTAATACAATATGATGAGAGAATATTATGAATAATGGTATGCAAATAAATTTGACAATTTGGATGAAAATGGACAATTTCCTCAAAAATTGTGGTTTAAAATATTCCACAAATTCTTTGACACTCCCTTTAAAATGTGGAGCCCAATTCCCATCCCCTTGAATATAGGCTGGATTTCTTGACTTCCTTCTATTGAATAGGAAAAAAATAGAAGTAGCAGTTGAAACTTCAGAGGTTAGGTCATTAAAGCACAGTGGCTCCCGCTTTGCTCGGATCACCCGGTGAGAGGTGGGGAGGTAGGGAGAGACCCACCTGCTGAGGAACTGAGGCCTCCTGCCAACACCCAACAAGGAACTGAGACTCCTAGAAGATATAAATAAAACATGTATCTGGTGATGGTCTCATATGCAGAATATAAAAATAAATTCTGCAAATCATTATTCAAAAGATATACAACCCAAGAGGAAAGCAGGCAAAAGACTTAAACATACACTTCACAAAAGAAGATTTCCAAATGGTCAAAGTGGCCAACTGCATTCATGATCAGAGAAAACCCCAATCCAATGTCGTTATACACCTTCCAAAATGGCCAGATTGGTTTTAATTGCAAAAACATATGGAAGTGGAGAAAATAGGACTCTCACAAACTGTTGATAAAAATGCAAATAAATATAACCACTTGGAAAACGAATAAAGATGAACATATGCAAAGCATTATGACCCAGAAATTCCAGTACACCAGTTTTCATGGGTATATAACCAACAGAAATGCATACATATTTTCACCATAAGACACAAGTTAGAATGTTCACAGTAGAATTGTCTTATAAGAGCCAGAAACTAGAACTCAAATGTCCATCAGTTGGTGAATGGACAAACAAGTTGTTGTATTTCTGTGCAATAAAAAGGAATGGAAGTCTGACACACACAGCAACATGGATGAATCTCAGAAATATGTTGAGCAGAGAATCCAGTCACAAAAGAATACATACATATGATTCCATTTATATAGAGCACAAAAACAGGAAATAAAACGGATTCTCAGAGATATCATGTAGAGCAATAGAAGGCAAACACAAAAGAGTATATACATACGATTCCATTTCTATAAAGCATAAGGAAGGCAAAATTAATCTATGCTGTTAGAAGTTAGGGTAATGATTATCCTTTGGGAAATGATGGTTATTAGAAAGGAGCACGAAGGTGGCTTCTGGGGTGTAAACTAAACTTCTGTTTCTTGATCAGATGAAAATTTATGGAACACGTGTATATTAATGTATGTATATTATACATCATTAAAATGTAAATTATTTTTAAAAGGCAAAAGAAAATACATGCATATGAACCAATAATATTTGGCAAAATACATTGGGCAAAAACACATATAATAAAAAGATACAGAAAGGGGAGTGTGGAGAGGCTGATGGGGAATAGAAATAAAGGATCCCTTCTCCCGCTGCCAGGCCTGGATCACTGCAATTAGTACACACAGGACAACTCTGATTCAGAGTTGGCCTCTAGCCCGGGGATGGGGAGAGAGGCAGTGCCAGACCACATACCATATATCTAAAAAATTAGAAGTTATAAATCAAGGAAGCAAACTGTTAAATAAAATATGCTCTATATCTGCCTACCTTGACACATATAGACACACACACACACACACACACACACACACACACCCCTTCATAATGATCAGGAATGCCAGGTTCCAATTTAGAATATTCGAACTGCCCAGATCCCTTCTTCCCAACCCAGCTAAGTCCCACATTGCAAGAAGTCTCACAGTTTCATGTGTGGACACCCAGGACTTCTAAATTCCATCCAAACCCCAACAATGAGCCATTCCTAAGGCCTGAGGGTGCACACCAGCAGCATGATCTGCCAATGGGAGAATGTACCTGAGGAAAAGGCGTGCACACGCCCTGGAAGCAGGCTGGGACCATCTGGGCAGGGAATTACAGCATCCCTGGTGCTGGAAGAGTGGTCTAGGCGCATGGGCTCTGAATGAGCACATCCCCTTGGCCCCATGCACTCCTTGCCTTGTGGGAAGGCCACAGGCAAAGGGGCCCAGTGTGAAAGCCAAGGTCAGGGCCTCTCTTGCCAAGTCTAAGGGCAGTCCTAGAGAGATTACCATATGCCCCAGTGTTTGCTTTTCCACCGACCAAGCCCACCAAATTAAAGCAAGAGCTGACATTTACCCTACACTTTCCAGTTTACAGTACATCTTCCCATACAACGCTCTTCATCAATCTTCACAGTTTTGTACAATCAATATAATACCATTTGACAGATGAGAATACAGAGCCCAAAGTGACTCCCTGCAGTCACGCGATAAAACACAAGTACTGCCAGGTCTCCAGTGGGAGACTTTTCCCTCCAGATTTCAAAAGTCATGTTCTTTCTACTACTCAACACTGCCACCCATTCCTCAGCTTTCTAGAGAACTGACGGGAGCTTAAAAAAAAAAAGAAATTTAGTAAATATATGGAAATTGTAAATACACAGTTGAAACATTTTAGAAAAAGACCAGAGGCGGGGAAGGGAGTGTAACACCAAACACAGATCAGTTTCTGGGAAAGAGCCTGGGCCCAAAGCAAAAATCATCACTGGGACAAAGAAGACTATGTAGGAGCAGCAACCCTATCTGAGTCTTGGGGGCTCCGTTCCCACCCCAAACCACGAAATGAGGGCCTTCAACACATCTAAGCAATCTCCACCCAAATTCCACACCAATTACATGGGGGACCTGCTCCACAGCCCTCCTGCTCTCCACCACCCCACCAAAAATACTTTATTAATGAGAGGGCAGCATAAAGCCACGGGACTGCATCTGCTCGGGGAGAATCCAGAGGACAGCCTGGCACCAGCCCCAGCTGACACCCAACCCTCCTCCAGTGAGGACCCACTAGGCTATGCCTCCCTCTAATTACCAGGTGCCTGGTTCAGGGCCTGGCCGGTTATTTAGAGAACCAGCGCCCACGCCTCGCACAGATATCCGTGAGGCCAGGGCTGCAGGCACCGTCTGCTGAAAGCCTGCTGCCTGAAGCTGCTACCTCCTGACTCCACTCTCCTGGGACCCCTCCTGCCACCCCCGTGCCCAAGTTCGGGGCATCATGTCGCTTGCACACACAGCTGCAGAGTACATGCTCTCAGATGCCCTGCTGCCCGACCGCAGGGGCCCCCGCCTCAAAGGACTGCGCCTGGAACTGCCCCTGGACCGCATGGTCAAGTTCATAGCCGTGGGCTTCCCCTTGTTGCTGATGTCGCTGGCATTTGCCCAGGAGTTCTCCTCTGGTAAGTGGCTTCCAAGACCCAGCGCGCCCTGAAGTGAGTCAGCCCCCACTGTCTAGATCACATGACTCGGGCCGGGCATCACCCAAAAGGCAGACTATGCATCCGTTTGGGGCACCAGCAAAGCAGAGGTGTTAAAAAACTTTGAAAGTCATTTCTAAAATTTTCCAATAAAAAATATTTGTCTTAATTTCAGTATTCGCATGTTCTGTGTCATTGCAATGACTAAACTTTTATTTTGATTTTCATGTGGATGATAGAGATTAGGATCCTATAATCTCTCCAGGATTTATGACCTCTAAAGGTCTTAATTAGGCAAGCTTCAGATAAATCTCCTATCTTCTTGGAGTCTTCTTGCTACTCCCCACCTCCAGGATTATTGACTTGAGAACCTATTAAGTGCCTGACAGAGTCTGGCGCATCACAGGTGCTGAATAAATCCACTCCTTCCTCTCCAAGAGCCCCAGCCCCATGCACGAGCACTAACAAACACGTATATCCAGTGTTCTAGGTGCTAGATTAACACAGCGAATCTGCCACCTCTATTAAAGACAACATGGACTTTCCCGAGAACTGGGATTGCTGGCTTTCTTTTGTGGCTGTGTGCTGAGCTCACCGCCTTGCCCAGGGAGGTGTGTCAGCCTCCCACTGCCTCTTCATTCACCCACAGTGCAGACCCAGAAGCCTAGGGCCTGGGAAGAAGACAGTGCCTGCCAGATTCAGAAATGGCCAGAAAGCTCTTAGCTGATTGTCCCCTGGATCCCCATTCCTCCATCCCAACTCAGGGCCGCCTCAAAGCTGTGTTTCTGTTCCAGGGTCTC